GTTCAGCAGTTGCAGTAGTACTATGTCAGTCTGCATTTACTACAGATTAGAAAAAAATCTTGGTACATATTACCTGGTACACCGTCTTCACCATCTAATCTGTTCTCTCACTTCCTTCACTTTTGCTGGCTTCATCAATTTATTTGCTGTAAGCAATAGGTTGCATAATTCTATGCCACTCTGCTTCTCAAACTTTCTACTTTTCCTACAGCCCAGTAATACTATCTAGGTATCTCTGTCTCACTTGTACAAATTTCTTTGCTTTTCTAGCAACTTACTGTACTTTGTCCATCTGACTGTTCCGTAGAGACTGTATGACTTTGTAAGCTCCCTGAAAAACAAATATCTCATCAGAAATGCTTTGTACCCAGCACAAGGGGTTTCGGTTAGCTGTTACTCCTAGGCACAACCTCAATGAACTTTCCATGTCCTGTCATATATATATATGTATTATTTTGATGCCCTTGGTGCACCATGCTATTGATAGAGGGGACAACTGCAGGAGGGAAACTTTTCCTTTATTAAGCACCGTTATCAAAGAAGCATTAGTATTTGGACATGGAAAACTGTGGGAAATCTACTGTAATCATGTGGCTGCAAGTGCTACTGAGGTGTCAGTGCAATAGCCCATTTTTATAACAGTCACTGTGATATTCAGCAGCTGTTTTTTCCTGAATGTAAAGCACTGACATCCTATAGCCAGGGTCTAGGAATGCTTCAGAGCAGTTTTGTAATTTCCATATTTCTAGTCACATCAGCCATGAAGGCTGCACAAGAGGTGATCTGGAAAGAGGAATAATTTCTAACCTCAGCTCTTGTGACTTGGCAGTAGTAGAAGGCAGAGGAGAACAAACAGCTGCATCTTTGCAGGAGCTCCTTGGATTTGTGTTTGCAAACTAAGCCTCATCTCAGACAACTATCAGCCTGAAGCATTTCAGAGGAGGGAATGCATGGAAGGCAGGTATCAAAAGAAGCTCTCTACAAAGTCAGCGTGAGAGGTACAGCAAGGATCTGTTAAGTGAGGTCCAGCCAGAGCAGATGTTCGCTTTGTGCCTTTTCTGCCGCGTTGAGGGATCAGCTCCTGGCATCTGCCCCTTTCTGCTGCGGGAGAGCAGCAAGGCGTCCTCCGTCCCCCCCTCACCCCTCGCCTCGAGGACAATCGTTTCCCCTCCCCAGCGCGTCCCTCCGGTTTGGTCACAGCCGCATTTGCAATTCGCGTTTCGGGGCAAAGCAGCAGCGCGCCTTTCCTGGTTGGAAAAGCAGGGTCGTC